ATTCAATATGTACAACACAGCGGAAAAACCCTTGAACTTGGAGCAATTGGAGACGTAAGGATGAGAAAAGTCATTTTTCAAGTTCGAAGAGTAGAGAAATGAGTTCGCAAAGCTGAGAGTTAAATTCAATGCAAGGCTTGTGAAGCCATATTTGAGTTGCCATGAGTAATCTCTTCTTGTAGTCGAGATAAAGACTATAAATTAAGAGCTTGATTGGAAGTAACCCATTATCTCTATCCCTTATTATATTGCATGTAGTTTGATAGGTTTGCATTTAGGTATTAGGAATGTTTACACTAAGTTTTGTATAGTTGAGTCATCATGTATAAATTAAGTTGAGAAAAGCAAAAGAACACCTATTGAGTAAAAAAAACAAAAACAAAAAACATCATATTAAGAATCTGAAGTCCATCGCATAGCTATGATTTATGTATCGTTAGCTCATCTTCAGTCTGCCTAATCTGCCCGTCAATAGCCCCAAGTTGAGACTACATGCAAATTTAGTTTAGAGGCTGCCCATTGGAATCCTTTTTGTGTTGATTTGTTGCTGCCTTTTTTTAAATTCCTAGCTTGACCAATTTTCACCTGAGCAGCCTGTGAAGTAGGTTTAGATGTTTTCCCACTTATGGGCTTGCTATTGTCACACATGGAATTTTTCTTAAAATTGTGACCAATAGATGAATGCCCAAATACTTTGCAAGAACCACAAAATTTAGGTTCGTGCTCAAAAATAATTTCTTGCTCTCTCAAGATGCCATTTGGAAGTCTATTTTTTACCACTCGCATAAGCTCGATAGAAGCATCGACTTCAACTAGTGCTCTTGCATAGGAAAGTCTACCCCTACTTGCCGTGACCTTATTGGTCAAAATGGGTTTGCCAACTTTGGAGACAATTTTACGCAAAGCATTCATATTTCAAAACTCCAAAGGCAATCTCGGCAAGTTGACCCAAACCAGCATAGTGCTAACATCTTTGTCATCAAAATAAAAATAACAGGGCATGACTTTTAACATTAATGGTCTTCCATAAACCAAGTACAGACCACCATGTAACACGTTTAGTCTATCCACATCCGTCTCAAATTTGAAAACCAACCACCCGCTCGAGTGCACAAAATATTTGTACTTGACCTTTCAAGAATCACACAATTGGAGTAAAGCCACTTTCCTCGGAAACCTACCGGCAAAGTATCCAACGAGACTGTACCCCCAAGTATTCTCGATATTATCTTCATCCAATTCTCCCAAAAAACCTTCCTCCAAATGATTTTCAAAAGGCTTCAACTTAATATTTTCCTCCATTTTCCTATTGTCTTTAAAGAGATTAGCCCATTGAGCTTTAGTATCTTTTACAACCTCATTTCCAGCAACATTAGCATTATTTTGTTGCTGCAAATCCACCAAATTCAATTCAAAGTCAGAATTTTCAAATTTCGTGTCATTTTCTCCAAGTGTCAATGATGCACTAGATGAAGGCAAACTCACCTTATTATTCTCCGCAACATTGGACTTCGAAGGAGCAGCAATACCCCCAAAACCATCAGCTTGACGAATAGTCTGGGGCTTAAGAGGCGTCAACCCAGAGTAAAGGCTTGCAACATTTTTTTTTTTAACCCATGAAGAAGCAAAAATCGTGGCTTGCTGGGAAAGAAACGGGGGAACAGAGAACCAAGATAAAATAAGAGCAACCCAAAATTAACTAAGAAGTGATAAAAACCCAACACAAATAGTCCCAACAAGAAGGCCCAGCCGTGAAGAAAAAAAGCCCAGGAGAAGATAGGACAGTCCAAAGTCAGTTAAATGAACCGACCTAGAACCAAATAATCAGCAAGAGGTCAAAGAAAACTAGGGATAGAAGCTGCAAAATACTGCAAGAAGTCAGAAAGGTCAGAAGACATAGCCAAGGTAATACCAAAACTGTAGAAGTCAGCCACCAGCCCTAGAAAACACATCAGCCAATGCAGAAACCAGGGACCAAATTCAAAAATCAGCTGACCAGCAAGAATACATACACAATACATACAAAGAAAACACAAGCTACAACGAAGAACCAAGAACACCCAGCAGAAACGGCAACCAAGAAACGAACTGAAGAACAGAATCAAAAACCAGCTCAAGCAGAATACTGGCCAGAATCTGGAGAACCTGATAGCCAATAAAAAAAACTAGAACTAAGGAGAGAACAACAGTTTGCTACCCAAGAAAACCAAACCAGCTAAGAAAATCGAAGAGAAAGATAAGCTGGACGAAAAGGAAGCCAAAGTAATCAATGTTGTAGACCAAAGTTGGAACCAAGAACTCAAACCGACAACAATGTCCAAGAACAAGAACCGTGAACAATATAACTTATGACCAAAAAGTTACCTATATGAGCAAACCAAACTGAAATAAAATATGTTAAATTCGATTTTCGCTAAGAAGAAGTAAAAAATCAAACCCAACATAAAGAAAAACTCAAGAAATCAAGGCACTCAAGTAGGACTTTCTCTCAACTAGAATTTGAGAGCATTTCTCTCTAACGAGGCTAAAGTTGCTACACTAAAATGGATATTTCTTTTAGTTCGAACGAATACAGGTCAAGAAAATTAGTCTTGGATAATTTAAGAAGTTGGGAGAAAGGGAGTGATAAGAACCTTCATCCACTAAAAAATTGGTACACTGCCATCTAATCTATTAGCAAATTAAAGAAGCGTCATATTTAATCTTAATTGATAAAAATGCTATAAATGTTTTCTTGGCTGCAGTGAAGATTGCCTCATGTCTAAAGCTGTCGTGGCAGCAAGAACTAAGGCTAAGCGGAGGACCAAGGAGGCTACATCACAAGGATAAGGTCATAAGAGGAATTGGAACATGTGGGGTAATTGATCACGAGGGCGAAGGTCAAGAAGATAGAAGTAGGTCTGTTGATATCACTTGAGGTGTCCGGGCTCAGTGGTGTTGAAAATGTGTCACAATTTGGTTGTGGTAGTGATGGAAGTGATGGGAATATGGGTCATCTTGGTTGTGGTATTTTATGAGAGAAAACCATACAAATTACATTAGTGGTGGCAATGCAAGAAGTGAAAATGTGGATGGTAGTGTGTGTCTATTGGTTGTGGAAGACAAGACTAATTCGACAGGAAATGAGGATAGAGTTGATAATTCAAGTCAGGTATTGGTAGCATTGAATGCACTCGAGATGAGGAAAAATAAGAAATTGGGTGGAATAAAGGTAATAGATGAAGCATCAGGAAAGCCTCCAAATGGTAATTCTATGGTAATGGGATGTCTTTTTCTCAGTTTTCTAAGAGCGTACAGAGGCTAGTAGCAGTATTTAATCAGAATGAGATCAAGAGAGTGGTAGACATTTTGACTTATATTAATTCAAATTAGTTCATATTTATCTACCCACAATTTGTCATCAATGTTGTGCCAAGTTTTATTTAGAAAATTTCTAGAACTTTTTATGAAATTTTGTAACTCCCTATGTTTTCCCATAGGAGAAAATTGATGAAAAGCAGCCTTCAATACAATCTCTGCTAATCAATATCAATATTACTCAGGAGTCTATGGTATTGATTACTTATACTTGCTCAAGGATGTTGAATACACATGCATGGCACGTGCAGTTTTTGTATAAACTACAAAAATGTTAGAATGCATGACTGGTTAGACTTCTAATTTGAGCTTTTAAAGTACTAATAGTTAATTAGACTTTGTACTAAAAAATTATATTTCAACAACTAATTCATACACTTCCCATTTGGTAAAATGTCATCTATTACGCAAGCAAATTAAAGAAGTAACAGTCTCCACAAGAATGCTAAATCTGTTGCCTACATCATCAAGTAATCCATCAGGTTTTAAGATACTGCAGTAAGTCTAGATGGATGAACTCTGTGGTGTAAAAACATATTAAGGTCTTAAATTAATAAGTGCACTGACTTTGAACCACCGTCGAGAAAGTGCTTCGACGTGAATGGAAGAAATTTTGAATTAAAAAAGTTCAATTATAATGTACTATTAGGTGTGTGTGAGAGGGTTATGGCCTTTAAGAGTAAGTTTAATATTTAACATGGTAAGTACTTAATACTAGGGTTTAAGTACGCAATATTGAACATGATAGACAATGTAATTGGATAACATTTTAACTTTTATTTTCCTTTCGTAATATTTTCAATAAGAACTAACATGGGAGATAGATTATATTTGGATAAATGAATAAGAATGTGCTTTTAGTATAGAACACCAAAGAGGTAACACAACTACTTCCGTATTTACTCAAGGAAAAATTACGAAACTCAAATAGGATATGGAGATTTTTTTTTTTTTTAGAGGGGTGATTGTTTTTCTTATAGTGATGAGATTGGATTAGATGGTTTAATAAATTTTGCATGATATAATTTTGGAGGTAGAAAATAGTTGACTTTTTATTGAAAGTTAGTAGTATGGAAGATTTTGATAGAAAGTAATCTAGTAGACAAAGTGGACAGGACAAATGAACTTTATTAGAATGACAATAGCTTTTGCTTACAATGACTTTTTTTTTTTTTACTTACATACAAATGAGAGACTCATACCCTATTTATAGACCATAGCTTACATATGATTTCTTCTAGATAATTTTACATGTGTCTACAAAACTCACAAACTTTTTGGGTGCCCAAGTTTCTCTAGGGAATTCTAGATAATTCTGATTTTTTATTATTCTTGCTTGCCAAGCAATTCTAGGATCTTCTACAAAATTCTTAAAATATGCATCAACCATTAATACTCCTCCTTGATACATATTTTGGTAACTCCAATCATATCTCGTAGTATTTGAAACTTTACTCGTGGTAGCGCCTTTGTGAATATATCTATTAATTGTTCTTCAGTCTTGCAATGTTTGAGCTCTATCTCTTTATTTACCTCAGCTTCTCTGATGAAATGGTACTTGATGCTAATATGTTTGGTTCTGCTGTGGAATACGGAATTCTTGGCCATTGCTATTGTTGACTTGCTGTCGCAATTGCTTCATTTTATCGTTCTCCTATGTCTTCAAGTATACGTTTTAACCATAGAGCTTGACTCGTTGCCATTGCTACTGCAATATACTCTGCTTTAGCTAATGATTGTGTAACCGTTGCTTGTTTCTTTGATGTCCAAGAGAATATTCTGAAACCTAGTGTGAATGTGTAGCTCGATGTGCCCTTCGTATCATCTACTGATCCTGCCCAATCGCTATCAGTATACCCAAGTAGTCTTGAGTTAGGCGTAGATTGATACCTTATTCCATAGTCTTTTGTTCCTTGAAGGTATCTTAGTATCCGCTTAGCGGATCTATAGTGAATTTAACTTGGATTTTGCATGAATCTTGAAAGTAGGCTGGCTGCATACATTATGTCTGGCCTTGTAACTGTGAGATAGAGTAAACTTCCAATTAAGCTTTGAAATTGTGAACTGTCTGCTTTTGGTGTACCGTCTTCTATTCTAAGTGATTTGTTGCTACCCAGAGGTGTTGCTACTGTTTTACAACCTTCCATCTTGAACTTCTTTAATAAACTAGTAGTATACTTCTTCTCAGCAATGAAGATCCCATCTTCAAATTGAGCTATCTCAATCCCAAGAAAATAGTGCATTAATCCCAAATCAGTCATCTAGAATGTTTTCATCATATCTTCCTTGAATTTCTTGATCATCTTCTCATCATTCCCTATATTGATGAGATCATCAACATATAAAGATATTATAACTGTACTGCTTGTACCCTGATTTTTGATGTATAGAGTTGGTTCACTTTGGCTCTTCCTAAATCCTTGCTCAATGAAGTAATGTCGATTATGTTATACCACGCTCGTGGAACTTGTTTTAATCCATATAGGGTCTTCTTTAGTTTGAGAACTTTATCTTCTTTTCCTCGTACTATGTACCCTTGAGGTTGCTCTATATAAATTTTTTCTTCAAGATAGCCATTAAGAAATGCTGATTTGACGTCTAGCTGGTAAATCTTCCACTTTTTTTGTGCAGCTAGTGCAATCAACACCCTTATAGTGTCAAGACATGCAACTGGAGCAAATGTTTCGGTGTAGTCGATGCCAAAATGTTGTGAGTATCCTTTGGCAACTAGCCTTGCTTTATGTTTTTGGATTGAACCATCAGCAATGAGCTTTGTCTTGTAGACCCACTTAACTCCTATGACTTCTTTGTCTTGAGGAAGATCTACAAGTTCCCAAGTGTTATTTTTCTCGATCATTTTTATTTCTTCATCCATAGCATTTCTCCATTCTGATTGTTTTGAAGCTGCTTCATAACTTTCAGATTCAACGATCATCAAGTTGTAGCTTTGATATATTTTCGATAATCTTCATGTCTTTCTTGGTGATGATTCTAGTGAGTCAACTGGTTCTTCTATTGTTGCTTGCTGTGGAGACTCTGGTTGATTGTTCTCCTCAACGCCACCCTCCTGCTTTTTTGGTTGTGTAAGGATGCTGATAGCTTTTCTTTCGACTTGACCAGTCTCCCAGTTATAGGTGGTATCTTCATCAAACTTAACATCTCGACTTATAATCAGCTTCTTTGTTCTTAGGTTATATACTCGATAGACTTTTGATTGAGTACTATAACCTAAGAAGATTCTTTTTTCTGTTTTTCATCTAATTTACCTCTTTTCTCCTGTGGAATATGTGTGTAGCAGATACAGCTAAAAACTCTGAGATGCTTTGCTGATGGTTTTCGTCCGCTCCATGCTTCCACTGGCATTTTGTCTTGCATAGCTTTAGTTGGACATCGATTTAGTAGGTAGACTACAGTACTTACTGCTTCTGTCCAGAAAGTTTTTGGAAGACTTTTCTCCATTAGCATAGCTCTAGCTGTCTCTATTACTATTCTATTCTTTCTTTCTGACACGCCATTTTGGTCCGGCGCGTATCCAACTGTGAGTTGATGCTCCATTCCTTCGTCTTCACAAAATTTGTTGAATTCATTTGATGTATATTCTTTGCCTCTGTCGCTTATGATAGTTTTGATATTGAAACTACTTTGTTTTTCAACATAGCTTTTGAACTTTTGAAAATCTTAAATATTTGGGATTTTTCACGTAAGAAATATACCCATGTCATTCTAGTGTAGTCATCAATTAAGAAAATGAAGTACCTGTTTTGCTTATGTGATAAAGTACGCATCGAATCGCATACATCTATATGTATTAGCTCTAATGACTTTTTAGCTCTCCAAGATTTTTCGAATAGAAATGGTTGGCAGTGTTATGTCCCGAGCAAGCATCCTTCGCAGACTGCATCAATCTTTTTTATGACTAGTAAGTCTCTCATCATGCTCTTTTGCTACAGGATCTTCAACCCGTGGAAGTGGAAATGTCCAAATCTTTTGTGCCACAGCCATGAGTCGTCGACTTGTGCCATCATTGTTGCACTATTTGCATATCTCTCCATTGGCTTGGAAAGCATCTGTTCTCCCATTTTTTGACTTTTGCAATTACAAGAGATTTATCTTTCTTGTCATAGATCGTGCAAGAATCTCCTTCAAAATATAATGTATATCCTTTCTCCATCATTTGACATACACTTAATAGATTTTGATCTATTGTAGGGACTAAGAGACCTTCATTGATGTATCTCTTGCCCTTTTTTGTGTCAACAGCAATAATGCCTTTACTTATTGCCTCTATAAAATTTTCATTGCCAATCTTGATTTATCAAGACTGCAGAAAATACTTTCGTCTTTCGTCATGTGATTACTACAACCATTGTCTAGATACCACGTATCCAGTTTGTTATCAGATGCATCTTTGCTAGTGGCGTAAAATAAACTTACTTCTATATCATTTTCTTCAGAGAAATTAGCTTAATGATTTTGTTTAGAACAACAAAATTTTTCATCGTAACCAAATTTTTTACAGTATCGACACTGTGGTTTTCCTTTAAACCAACAATCCTTCTCCAAATGATTTTTTCTTTTACATATGCCACATGAATGATACTTGCCGCTTTTATCAAATTCTTTTCTTTGAGTTACTTTATTTTTACAATTTTCTTTAAATTTTCTCCCACATTTTTTAGATTTCTAAAACCGCATATTAACATTAGATTGGAATGCATTTTTCGTGTTAATCTCATAACGCTTTTCTAATCTTTTTTTATGTGCTTCTAGTAAACTCATTAATTCTGTAGCTGTCAACTTATCTATATCTTTTGACTCCTCAATAACTGCAATAATTGGATCATATTTTTCTGTGCAAGTGTGAATAATAATCTTTCGCCGTTTCAGAATATTTCATTTTTTTAATTTTCAAAATTCCTTCTTAAAGTTTGAAGACGGCAAGTACGTACCTTGTTACTGCCGTGAAACTCCTCCTTTAGTTTATTCCAAGTTTTTTTTGCTGTTTTAGCTCCCATGATTCTTGGAAAATAAGTGATCATCAAGCTCATTTGTAGAGAAAGTAGTGCTAGAGAATCTTTTTGTTGATTCTCTTTAAGTTCCTTCTTTTGTATGGTAGATAGAGTGAAAATGTAATCTGAGTTAATATACCCATCATTGACGATATCCCATAAATTCTGTGCACAAAAGTAGGTCTTCATTTTGATAGACCAAAAGTCATAGTTGTCTCCATTAAATGTTGGAATAGGGATGAATGAATGGAAAGTGTCTGCCATAATATCTTATTATGCCCAATATCAATCGAACATAGCTCTGATACCACTAATGGTTTTTCTTGTAGTGATGAGATTGGATTAGATGGTTTAATAAGCTTTGTATGGGATAATTTTGGAGGTAGAAAATAGTTGACTTTTTATTGGAAGTTAGTAGTGTAGAAGATTTTGATAGAAAGTAATTTAGTAGACAAAGTGAGTAGGAGAAATGCACTTTATTAGAATGATAATGACTTTTGCTTACAATGGCTTTTTGTGCTTACATACAAATGAGATACTCATGTCCTATTTATAGACCATAGCTTACATATGATTTCTTCTAGATAATTCTACATGTGTCTACAAACCTTACAAACTTTCTTGGTGCCCAAGTTTTTCTAGAGAATTCTAGATAATTCTGATTTTTTATTATTCTTGCTTGCCAAGCAATTCTAGGATATTATTGTCAAGCAATTCTAGGATCTTCTACAAAATTCCTAAAATATGCATCAACCATTAATAAGGGGTCAAGGCTTTTCTAAGAGAATATAATTAGAGTCAATAAAAAAATGACATAGATGACTTTATGCTTTCGAAGGATGGTGTGATAAGGAGATTACGTTAAACGAACCAAAAAATTGTTGAGGTTGACTAAGAACTAAAAAGAAAAAAGAAAGAAAATCAAGGGCAAAGAATTGAGAGACTATGTATAATATAATGATGCACCAACGGATAATATTGAATACAAGCCCACTAAGTAAAGAGCAGCAGGGTAAATGGCTGAAGGCGGAATGAAAATCAAAGGAAATGTAGGGTGAAGGAACTTAAAAAAAGAGTTGAGGGGATTTTGGTATAAATTTCTTACCATACATCAATTAAAGGTGAACAATATGGAAAGAAAAAGAAACCATGGCCAGGAAACAAATTCCGGTGCTTCTTTCATGTCGTCATGTTGTAAATTCTTTGCTGCGAAATAATTTCTGCAAATTCTTACCAATATTTCTTTATTG